TCCGAAAATGCTAGATATTTCAGCAATTATACTCATCGGTGTAAATATTTTTGAAATGGTATCTATTTTGATCTTATTATTTCCATTATTTGAACTTGAACGACTAGCGATATATGTAAAAAAAATTAAAGTTTACTTTCAAACAAGTTGTTTATTCAGATTTTGGTGTATTTTCTGTTGCCTTATTATAGCGCTATTTGGTATTATTGCCCCAATTAGAACTTTAAAAGAGTATGGTTCAGCAAGAGACAATGAATCTTCCAGTGAAAAGTTGATAAGACTTATACAAACCACTAACGCAGCCAGGAACTACATACTCGGTGGATTCTCATTATTTTTCCTCCTAGTTGGACTAAGACTATTTGATTTTGTAATATTTTCAGCTAAACTCCAAGAGTTCAGTGTTCTGATGTCCAATTACCATTTGATTGACATAAATTTTTGTGAAATAGAAGAGAAGGAATCAAGTAATTTGTTTAGTGACGACATTCACGACGATTCTTCAGATATAATAAGCAAAGGTACACACGAAATTAGTCACTGGCCTTCTTTTATCAATTTAAGAAAATTAGAACGGGTTAAAATACGAAAATTCCTGCAAAGTTTGGACAGTGACTCATGGAGTATCGGAAGATGGAGTAGAAAGAGTAGTATAGAAAAAGCTCCCACAGGTAATACTATTGAAATACCCTCGAAAGAAGAGGGTCTTCAAATCAAAATCAGGAATTCAAGAAGTGTTACGTTATTAACCAACAGTCAGCACGATAATAAATAACTCAATGACAATGAAGGAAGTGTTAATCATAACAAAGAAAAAATGTTAAAGAAGGTGTAGAGCGTGTTAGCACTGGAAATATCGCGCTTATGACGATAAACAACTTTTTTACGCCAATGAAAAACGTTCCCGTAAAAAGCATGTATAAAATAATAAAGAAAATGATTACACGTATAGTTCAGAAGCCACTACGTCAGATGTTTTAGAGTCCTGTTCTGCGGAAACAAATAAATCTGAAGATATTGAGAAAAGTGATCACAAAATCAAAAAAGGAAGAGTTTATAAGATAGATATCTTTTGATTTCGATAAAAGACACAATAAATTAAAATTACCAAACATGATGAACGTTTTTAGCGTTCTTTACGGCACAATAATTTTTTTTGAAGTAATATTTCTGGTACTTCTTTTAAAACCAGTAACACAACCGTACTACATAAGAAATTGTTGGACACGATTACAAGAGAAGAAGGTAAATCCTACTAGTGCGTTTACTTTTTTGATTTTTGTCGTAGCAATTGTTGTTACAGCGAGTTCATTTTTAGAAATGAAATTCGAAAAAACGTGCTACAAAGAACTACTACAAGAAGTCAACGATATTGAATTAGAGCATAATTTTTACATTAATAAGATTGCTCTAAGCTCTACCGGTTGTATTATAGTTGTGTATCTTCTAATTGTAATTCATAGGGTGACGGAACTTGTGATTTTAATAGCTCGACTTTTAGAATTTGAGTTAATGTGCAGGCATGCAATATTGTCTAAAGATATAAACCAGGATGTTGCTACTACTCCTACCTCTATACTTCCAGCGACTCCACCAGAAATTGCGAGAGTTGATTTATTGGAGAGTCAATAAATGAGGAAATTCTTTAAAACCTATTTGATCTAAAAATAATTCGTGTATGTTCGAGAATCTAATTCAAGAATTTCGTGATTTATAAGAGATCAATTTAAATTGTTTAATTTGGACACTGTTTGTTATTTTGTATTTGTACGTCTGCTTCTGTTTAATTAAAATTACTATGTTTTAATATTTTTGTTGGTAATATTTAATTTTTTCCTTCGTCCTTCGGCACTTTTTCAATTTTATGAACTCCGAGTACAACTCATCGAGTTTAAAGATAAGAAATCTTACGAAACATAATTCTACATTCTACAATTTAGTTCATCTATGTATTATTTGTTTATAGGTGTATTTTACACTAAAGTCTTTAGGCATTTTAAGTAAAGAAAGCAAGACATGGGCAGCCAGAGCGTACTCCGTAGATACATGTTTAAAGCAAGGATGGAAATAAAGTCACAGATAAACAGACCAAATGACAGATAATGGAACTCCTTGGACTGCGATCTCCGTAGTAGGTTTGCGCAAATACCACAGAGTTTGTCATAACCTTAGAGCTTAGACTTCTTTAGAATTAGAGGATGGAAAAAAATGGCTTCCATAGTCAAAGGCTCAATTCACACTGGCGCAGAGTCGAAGCGTCGCATCGCGTCCTGTTTTTCAACTACGCCGCCTGCCGATGCGCGACGACCCTCGCATTAGTGCGCCGGGATCACAGTGTGGTCGGCGTCTGACGCCTCACGGCGCCCAAGTGACGCGCAAAGCCGCTCGAATGCTACCAAGCGTCGCAAAACACAAATTTGTACCTTAGTAATGAGAAAATGGATATGCTATAGGCGTAAAACATGACGCGTCGCGACGCTTCGACTCTGCACCAGTGTGAGTTGAACCTAAGAAGATGGAAAAGTCAGCAGCGGATCAAGGTATTTTTTTTATTAAGACAAACTGAGAGCGTAGTGATGTCAATAAAGATTTTGAAAAATATCGTAATTCTTTTTGGTAAGACATATGTTATGTGAAATAATGGTAAAATATAATGACGGTATTTTAAGAAGCAGCCATTGAATGTCTTGCTTGAATTGATGCAAAATTTATTCTATTTCATTGCAAAAACAGCTACTTAATGTCTTAGTAATATAGAAAATTATTTACAATCCAAAATGGCGCTTCAATTCATCTAAGGACATTTGTTAAATCTGAATCAAAATTATAGATTTATTTTTCAAAATGCAACTACGCGTTAACGTTATGTGCTATCGTTTAAATGCAGTGCTGGTTCGTCATAATTATTTGGCAATGTTTGTTATTGACGGTCTGTATTGTGAGAAATTTTTATTATGTTCCGAAAAAAAATTGAGTTTCTTTCTAGTTTACACTATAAATAGATTTACTTGAAATGAAGTCTAGTTAACTAGACATTTATACTCAATTAAAGCATGAATTAAATCTCATAATCGTAGAGGTAAAATTTGGACCTGATTTACCGCTGCATTGCGATCTCATATGAGTGACATGAGTTTGGCGCTTGACAATTTCAATTAGGTGAAAGTGATAATGTTGTTACTGCCGGATAGAGGCAACATGTTGTGATATTGTAAATGATCACTGACGTGATGTTAGTAGTTGCAGTATTTGGAATTGAATAGTTCACTTTGTACTGGTATTTATTTGCTGACTACTAAGTTCAAGTTCCCTGATATAAAATTCTAAATACCCTCCATTCAAGTACAAAAGTTTAGAATCATCGAATTCCCATAAAAACGTCCTTGGTAATTGAAAATAACAATGATGTTGGTAATATACCTTTCACAATTCACAAATTATGTAGCAACCGACGAAATGAGTTAATCGAGTCTGACCGATTCGTTGCGTCTGGTAATCGAAATGCTGTAACGAGGTAACTTAGAGAGCGATGCAATTAGTTATTTGTAGCTATCATGATAAGTGAAAATATCTGAAAGACTGATTGATGGGTGAATGACAAACCCATGAGTTGTAAAATTATTCGAACGGTTTGGTAAATATCGATGAACTGACTAGAGTCCCCAGAATATCCGATAGACTGGTATTTAACTGTCTTCGTAATCGAACGGTTACCATGCCGGGCTGCCACACAGAGGTCTCAGATTCGATTCCCGGGCCGGAAGAAATATTTGAATGGCCTACATTTATTTCTCTCGTGAGTTTGGGTGTAATTTCTGGTTGTGTATGTGTGTCCATGTCCATGGCACCCGCGACACAGGATTTCCTTGATGCGGAGTTATGTTGAGTGTATGCGTTATTATTAATGAGTATGTGCGTTATTATTTTGCTGGGTAAAAGGCTGATCAGAATTACGACAATATTCGACATGGTTATTATAGATGTTGTTGGTCGATAAACATTACCTGATGAGTTTATCGTAAAATGTAATTTATATTTAGCTCTATTTGAATCTTTGAATGGTCAAAGGATAGTGATGTTTATCATTCAGATTCTTGCTCGTTTTTCTTAGTAGAGACAACCTTCCAAATGCGCCATACATTCTTATAAGTTAACTGTCTTCGTGACCGAACGGTTACCTTGTAGCCCAGAGGTCCCAAGTTCTATTCCCGGGTTCGGGAGAAATATTTCTATGGCCTACATTTATTTCTCTCGAGAGTTTGGGTGTAATTTGTGGTTTTCTATGCGTGTGTCCATAGCATCCGCGACACCGGGTTTCCCGAGTGCGGTGCTATGTTGAGTGTGTAACTTATTATTAATTAAAGATTTGATACTAAATTTTTGTTTATATCTAAGTAACACCTAGTAGTGCAGTAGGAGAGCAAATATTTCTACGAGCGAGAGACTCGATTACAAACAAGTTCCAGTAGCAGCATATCTGTGACCTCAATTTCTTAGTTACACATACTTGTGAAAGTTTAGAACTATTTAATACTAACTATGATAAATGATCTACAATAGAATATACATATTATAGAAATTATATTCTGGAAAGACGCAGAAATGAGAAAAGTGATATTTCTTAAATCGCGATCTGCCACCCTAGTCGCGACAAACGTTAACAACCAGCAAGCAATATCTAACATCTAAGTAGCAGAATCCAAATGGTTTCTAGTAAGATTATTCGTGAATATCTAAGATGTTTTTGTAGGAAGTGATTACGAACAGCTGTCTGTTAATTTATTTAAATGTCGTACATATTATTAAACTTTTTTGAAGCTAATAAAACTAAAATCTCCTTGACGACGAATTTTGCAAAATGAACGGTTACAACCATCACTCAAACGTCATTGCGCGTTGAAAAAAAAATACGTAAAATTTTGCATTAATATGGATTAAAATCGAGTGAAATACAAGATAATTAAGGAGCAACATAATGAAATGTTTAAATTTCTACCTCTACTGCAGTAAAATAATTCATTATCATGGATGTTAGCTGCATGGTTCTTAGTTGTGTGTTACTTATACAAATGGCATTAATTCTCATTATGTTGAACCCCGTCTATGATGTACGGAAGATCACCAGATTTATAAACAAGACCATTAAATACCATCAGTTCTGCTACAGCCTCGTCATCATTAGCTACTTCTTGTCTATCATCTATCTTGGCATGTTTATACCACTTCACAGTATACACAAACTTATTTTTGGATCTTACGTTGAAGACGTCGAAAAACTCATCCTTTTAAGGAAAATTGAGAAAAACTACATAATTACAGGCTTTTCACTTTTCCTGGTAGTGGTAATATATGGTGTTAGAGCACTTGTATCTTACACAGCGTGTATGGTGGAGTTAACAAGGAGATCTAATGATTCCCTGAACGTCATATCAGATGGGATGAAAAATGGGGAAAAAAAGAATATATGCTCTTCGCTTAATATTTTGCCAAATCTACTGAGAGCAAAGAGGTCCATATCTTACGAGACCATATTATTCACTAACGAACTAAGGAACCATTTAAAAAATATACTCCGAAATGATTTTCCTCGCAATCTATCTGTCCAAAAAAATGTTCAAGCTCGCGCAAGTACGTTAAAAACTAAATGTTAATATTAAAAAAAAAACAGTTATTTGGTGAGAGAATTTGTAAAAAATAAAGCAGTGTTGCGTTCAGTTTTGTTGTTTTATTACAAACATTTTTACAGTGTAATTTCCATTATGTGCCTAAAAAAGAATTTAAAAACATTGTCGTATGTGCATCGAGACAATTTATGTGAAAAAAATATTTTCTTCTTTTTGTTCCAGTCTAGAGCGATTCAATAAATCTTAAGCCCTTTTGAATAGTAAAAATCAGACAATGGGCAAATATCACAGACAGTGTGACATACTTGGGAAGTGGATAATTTTAATTCCACACACGAACACTGTAGGAACTAAAGCCATGTACGCATCGTAAAACATTGCCAAGTATTTGAGAAATCCGTGGAATTGCAACGAGGGAGGAAATATTTGAAAAGACTACGCCGTGAAAATAAATACTGTTGGAAGGACAAGAAAAACGTCAAACGGGTATGTGAAGTGCGAATGGGCCAGAAGAAAATGTTGCGTCGAATCAAGTAAAACATTTTTAATGTTCCGAACCGGGAGATGCTTGTAAGGACTATGGAATAATTTATTTTACACTTTGGGGGAGCTCAACTGACTACAATGTAACTGGTACTAAAGAATGAAGGAAATGAAAGGGTTCTTGCAAGAGAAGTCTCTAAAATCTTGTTATCAAAAGAGAGCAGAAATAAGGTAATTTAAAACATTTTGCATTTATTACGGGAATTTGTGCTCTAGCAAGTATAATTCATTTTTACCGGAAAATTGGATTTAAGCTATGATCATTGATTAATAAACCCAACAATATTTTGGGAAGAAAAAATTCAAGATTGACTTCTTAAAAACCATTTTTCTTTTATGTATTTAGGTACTTCAAATAGACAGCACCCCATGTAAATATTGGATGGATTGTATAAATCGTATGATTTGCTGACGATGAACAAATTGTCCTTGGCCTACTGAAGTTACTATAACCAGTGTCCAAAATTCCTGACATACGCCATTCAAGCTATTTCGTTGCAGTGAAGTCGCTTCAGAGGTCGTTTCGTTGGCATAGTTTCAGCCGTGGCGACGCCAGCTCGTGACAGGTACTAGCTGTTGTAGTAGATTGAAATAATAAAAGAAAAATAGTTCTAAATACGTTACGTTGTGGTTTTCTTTCGAATTTTGGCATCATTTGTCTCCTTTCCACATCGACTGTTTCTAATATTCTTGCCAAATAGGTGTTCAAAATTGCTGATGAAGGGATGCGAAGTGGCTACTGGAGCAAGAAGTCAGACTTGTAACTTTGTAGGGAGTCAAAAAAACGCCCCGAGTACAAATTTTCCAAGGTCTGACCTTAATAACTAATGTATAAAATACCATCTTATCAAAGTGAAGATTTCTTTACTGCGCTCCAAGCCGTGGGACGATAGCTTGGGTAACTTGTGTTTATAAGAGTAGATGTAAAGGTAGATTAGAATAGAAATTACATTATTCATACAAATCTCTTCAGTTTGAAAGGTATAGAGCAAAATCTTCAAAGCTTTTGCAAAGGTTATATTTAAAAAAATACTACTGGGAAGAATATTCCATTCCCTTTTTCTTTCTTACTAGCTGTTAAGATTGGGAATAGTTGCATCATTGATGCTTTTTCAAAACGCAATGTCACACGAGTCGATCGTACAAATAGCATTCGAGATTGAACGGTATCAGTTGAAATGCAGTTTCTGTAAATACATCCTTCTAATTTGCTATCGGGTAAGTTAGCAGCCGCAAAGCTGCAATCAATACTACCCTACTAGCCGCTTTCTATATCTAGGATTATCTTAACCACTTTGAATGATCGTGAATGGGTCAAATAGCTTAACTGTGAATCAGGCAGGTAAACCCCTATGAACAATCATATTCCTGGAATTTCTGTCAATTGTAGCTTAATAGCGTGTGCAGATATTCTGTTTAATAGTGCCTTGCCAAGGCAACATAATATCATGAAAAGTATCTGTATCACCTACGTAATACAGTTGCTAATACAGTACAACCTTTGCAAACTCAGCCACCCTATTTTAGCTAAGCGGAATTTAAACAACACATTAATTTCAACCTGATACAGGCCGGCGCCACTGCGGCCATTCTGAAATCTTGCCAAACACATGGAAAGACCTATATGTCTCATATGTAAAACGAAAGGAGCACAACGTATTGTATATTCTGTAAGGAAGTAAATGAAAATTAAACAGCATTTGTTTTTGTTAGGTGATGAATGTCATAACGACTAAAAGTAGGATAGTTTGCTTTATCCTTAAACTTTACCTCTACTATCTTTACCTCTACCTTTATCTGTTTTAATGCCTCAGTCATCTCTCTCTTCTTTAACCTTTTTCCGATTTTTCTATTCTCTTCGATTCGGATAATAACAAGCTCCCAAAAACCAATATATTACAATGTTCCATAGTCAGATTGATTTCCTTGCATATTTGCCTATTTGATCTCTATGTGACCACTTAGTGCGTCGTGAAACTAATAATTGCTAGGTAATGAGTGGTTGATGTTTGCTATATTTGTCGAATAGCTGGGCAAATACTTTGTCATAAGGAAGCACTTCACTCGCTACTGGGTGTTTGTAGTAAATGGAAAAATGTTTAACACGCACACATGGAGCCAATCAAGGAATGACATAAAAAACGCAGAAGTAACTTGCACGACGAGTTAAAGTAATGAACTTGACCATGGTGTGGTCAATTCACTTACGTATTTACCAATTTGATATAAATATTTGCGACTTATTTAATGTGCGTTAAGAAACAGACAAGCGCTTAGTAGCGCGTGGTTGGTGTTTGCTGTATTAGTCGAATAGGCAAACATGGCAAATACTTTGTCACACATGGTGATCGTCGTACCATTATTCGCATTCATTGTGGCCATTATTTTCGAAATTATAGTTCCAATTATTTTATTTGACGTAAAAATGATAAAACAAACAGTTTGAGTTACGTAACAGAAAGAAGCGGGTTTAATTTTAACATCCTCAACAGTAATTGTTTGCGACAATACGCAAACACAAATAACTATGTGAAGTGTCTCGATTTAACTGAACGACTGTCTCTCAAAATTAGCCCTCTCAATTTTAAACAACGAACTTATATTTATTATTTATCCTACGCAATGCAGGGGCGTCCTTGGGGAATCTTGGGGTCACCGCAGTATAGGTATTTTGGGTTTCTTTACACAATCCCTAGTTTGATGCGGGCCAGGGTTGGTAATTATAAATGGGCCTGTGTTGGCTATGAATATTATATACTTACACGTTCTGTTGTTAAGTTTTTATAACGATGGCGTGTCAGATTGTTGTACATGGAATGTTTTGGAGAGCAGATTTGGAATCTTAGTTCACGATGATGGAAGACTTCGAAAAACTAAAGCGACTCAATAATAAATAACGGTAGTAGTCCAGTGTGACGAAATGTGGTGCTATCGTAAAATGCTCCCCATCAGTTGGACGGACAAAGTCACGAATGTCGAGGTCTTTAAACGTAGGGATAAAAAAGTGGAATTGGTACGCATTGTCAAGCAGCGGAATGTTGCCTGATTGGGTCATGCACTACGACATGACAGATATCGTCTATTGCACATTATAATGATGGGCAAAATAGCTGGGAAGCGGAAGGTTGGAAGAAGGAAAATATCATGGCTTCGTAACATCAGGGTGTGGATCAAGACCGTGAAACAACTGTTTAGGCTAGCTCTGGACAAAGAAAGATATAGAAAACTGACTGCCGACCTTCATTAATGGAGAGGCACATGAAGAAGAAGAAGTAGTCCACTGGGAAAATAGTTACTTCTAGAGTGCCTGGTCGACGACTCAAATTTATGTAACGGCATGCACAATTAAGTTATACACTTTTTTGTTCTCACAATGATCACATTACTGCTTAGGCTGCTAACAGATTGACAGCATGTTTGCAGTTAATGCGTGAAGTCGTAATCATCTTCATGTAGTCGAGACCTCGCATGCAATCGATCTCGGCTGCATGAAGTCGGTTTCAACTGCAAGCAGATAAAGCGTTAAGTCGTTATCAACTTCATACAGTCGAGGTCTCGGCTGCGTGAAGTTGATTACGACTACTGTTTGCAGCCTAAGCAACAGAAATAGGTAAGGTGGCAGTACATCCTTGGACGAACTCTTGCACAAGCAGCTCTAATGCTACTGTAACAAACTATATTTACGTCACAATTCACGCTTGCCCATTAATAAATTATACTCGTTATTGAAAAATCGTTTCGTAACCATCCCGACTTCGTGTACCCCTGCTCAATAGGCTTTCAATAGTTTGGCACATAATATGCAAATTTTTAGAATTTAATTTTTATTACTATTAAATTTAGAGTCTCTTTCTAATTATCAAATTGTCCCCATTAATCATTTTTGATAGCATGGCAAAGTTTAATATAAAGCATCCTAACCTAATACCACAAAACAAAGGAAGCTTTGGGACGACTTTGAAAATGTTCGCTGACATTAAGGGCCGGATTGAACTTGAAAAAGTATGAAGTGACTTCAAACTCATGACGCAATTAATATTTTAAATTAATGCGTAATAAAAATATACTATAAATAATTATTGTTTTGCAAAACAAAGCCTCTTTTGTGTTAACAGTGCGTGGCTCAAATTTAATACAAGGAATTACTTTAAATTTCCTTTATGTTTTTCCATCCTTTAAGCTTTAAATAAAAGAACAAAAGTTTCAAGTCTGATGATAACACAACTGTACCAAAGAGACTTCCGAAAGTTCCAAAGATTGTGAAACAAAACACTACACAGACAAAATATAAATCGCAAAAAAAGCTCGACGGAGCGAAAGGAAATAAAAAGGCATTTACAACGTAATTACGTCGAAAAGAACTATCGAAAGTGTTCGTCTCAAGATTTATTTTATCCGGCAAAATCCTATTTTGAGCCGTTTCGGATCGTAGTGGACAAACAACCGCAAAAGCGTTAGTTTTAATTTATGACCGTTTTTGTAACGCGTGATAAGAACATGGAAAGTACCAAGGTCTCTTCGAAATTGTGGAACGGTTCAACCTTACGATCTTCAATTGCGTTTTAGTGCCACAAATAACCATTAGGATCTCTGCAAGATTTATGTATATCTCTCTCGAATTTACTGTGTTGATAGCATAAGACAAGTATGGTAACTACATACAAATATAGCAGCGCGGTTTATGTGTTTGTGTGCACGCTCGCTCGCCGTGTACGGCGTACAGACTCATACATTCGCATAATCTCGCGGTGCTCTCGAGTAGCATAGCGAGGGTCGTCGCACGCGTCAGTAAAGTTATGAAGTGTTAAAAATGACATCAAATAGTAAACGTACTTATTGTTGTACATGTGATACTTTGAACAGCAGTGCCTCCAACACAGAATTATTTAGCATTACATTTCTGCTCCATAATCGAGATAACAATCCGCGATCCTCGTTTAAAAAGTACTGTACATACATAACTACCGACTGCTCTAAACAATGACTATTTCAATTAGCTCAAGAATACTGTGGTGAACACGTCAATTTTTTCAAACTATATTTACAATCTGTAGGTACAACTAAAATGAAAATGACAACAACAGATAAAACACAATACAGACTACTACAGAAACAAATTGTTAATTCGTATGAAAACAAAGC